AAACTGCAGATGGGAGAGCTCGCCATCTTGCCAACATAAAAGTTCTCCATTGGCTGGGTACCTCCAAAAAGGAGAGACAGGTTGCCGGAACAACAATCTAAGTTTCTCTGAAATAATAACATTTGGGACGTTGTTATTGTCTCTTTGTCGCTCTATATCGAACAACCTTTGTTTGACCATTGCTTTTGCTCGGTCATAACCCATTTTCAGAACATTTTCTAAAGACAATCCTAAATTCTGCAATTTGCAATGGACAGCCTTCACCCAGGAAGATTGGTAATTATCTTGGAGAACTAAGGGTGTCAGGCCCTGTGGGTTATATGCTAGCTTTAGCCAAAATTACTGGGGTCTTTGGTTCAACACCAAAAATTACAGATCTCAGGACTGACTGAAAGGCTGCAATAATGATTCCCAAATATTGCTGCTACTGAATGCTATGAAGTATATAAAGCACTACACCAGGGTTTGGTAGCACTCCATCATCTATGGTTCATCTTGTACAACTATAGCTATATTATCACCCCTGTTATTTTAATGTGTTATTTTAACAAGGTAAAACAAAAGGATGGTAGATGTAATAATAGGCTCCCAAGAGGCTCTAAATATCGTTGTGTTTAACAAAGGTTGTTCATTACCTATAATGGATTAATCTGGGAATACATCACAATCGTAACAGAAAAGTGTGCTGGATTGTTTCAGTGGAATATTTAACTTCCTGATGAGTTATGATAAACCAGAGCAATTTAGTCAGAACTATTCAGCCAAACTTGCTTAAGGCTGTAACCACTTCAAGATATCCATCTTTGTAGTTTAAAATTTTGATAAGCTCTTCTAATAGGACCCTCGTGACAAAGTGAACCATCAACCCAGAACAAAACCCAAGGATGTTCTTGTGGACTTAAAACAGAAATGTGCAGAAACACCTATGTAAACGTTACCTCATATGTAATTTGTATCATAATGATGCATGACGTTATAAGATTAACTGCAAATAACTATCAGACAGCTGGGCGGCCTGCTGTTTTGCAATATGCATGGAAAGATGGACTGTCCACCATGGTATACCTTCAATTTCAGCAACAGCATAATAGAAGATTTCCTGCTGACTTGACATCAGCTTGCAGTACAGGTGCAAAGGACTTATTTCCTGGCAAGTGTAAAAAGAATTAATCTATAAACCATGAGGGCAGATTCTCCCATTCCATAACAGTTTGCAAAATTAATTACAATAACACACACGTCAACTTTGGGTATAAGACCAGTGCTGCTATCATGAACTAATGCAAGAGAAATAATGTATATGTATTAGTTCCCTACAAAGCTAATTGACAAAGATGGATTGAATAGCATAACTGGGAATTGCTCTTTCTTAAATTATTTCAGAAAGGTCTCATGCACGAAACCAAAAAATGTCTGTTTTAATTAACTGAAGCAATGGGAAATATTTTAGTTGGTTTCACTGGAAGGGAAACAGTGTCTCTTTTAACCGCTAGGAAGCCAAGACTGTGCTGCACATGCCAGCTGAGGATGGCACATGCCATTTCTCAAGCACAGCTCAACCTTCATTGATAAGAAACAGTTGGACATGACCATTTCCATATGAGTTGCGTTGGCACGGCACATTTCATAACACCCCTTAAGTATGTATTCAACCTTTCGCCTTCAAGTGTGAGGAAGGAATTGTTTCCTTAACCAAATATTATCAATAACACTGTAACAAAAAAGGATAAAAAATGCAAAACCATGTTTTAGAGATGATCAATATAATAATGTGATACTAATTCAAACCACCGAGTTGGAACTTTGGAGCTATCAGAATTATGCCTTTGGACAACTATTACAACTTTTGATTCCCCCCCACCCCTAAAGTGGAGCCAAGATGTAGATTACATCTAAAAGTGTTTAGCTGTTTAGCATATCTTCAAAAGCTGGTGTAGCATAGAGGCTAACAGTACAACACAAAGCAGATATACACTCTCCTAAATCTACAGAAATTAATATATTTAGAAGGGCGTAACTACTCAGGATTGACATCAGCTTGCAGTACAGGTGCAAAGGACTTATTTCCTGGCAAGTGTAAAAAGAATTAATCTATAAACCATGAGGGCAGATTCTCCCATTCCATAACAGTTTGCAAAATTAATTACAATAACACACACGTCAACTTTGGGTATAAGACCAGTGCTGCTATCATGAACTAATGCAAGAGAAATAATGTATATGTATTAGTTCCCTACAAAGCTAATTGACAAAGATGGATTGAATAGCATAACTGGGAATTGCTCTTTCTTAAATTATTTCAGAAAGGTCTCATGCACGAAACCAAAAAATGTCTGTTTTAATTAACTGAAGCAATGGGAAATATTTTAGTTGGTTTCACTGGAAGGGAAACAGTGTCTCTTTTAACCGCTAGGAAGCCAAGACTGTGCTGCACATGCCAGCTGAGGATGGCACATGCCATTTCTCAAGCACAGCTCAACCTTCATTGATAAGAAACAGTTGGACATGACCATTTCCATATGAGTTGCGTTGGCACGGCACATTTCATAACACCCCTTAAGTATGTATTCAACCTTTCGCCTTCAAGTGTGAGGAAGGAATTGTTTCCTTAACCAAATATTATCAATAACACTGTAACAAAAAAGGATAAAAATGCAAAACCATGTTTTAGAGATGATCAATATAATAATGTGATACTAATGCAAACCACCGAGTTGGATATATTTAGAAGGGCGTAACTACTCAGGAGTGCACTGCAAGAGACTGAGAAACAGATATGGAAGTTCCTAATTCAAACTGTAGCTCTGCTATGAATTCATTAATTTGGTGAAACTACCTTCCTCCTTTCTCAGCCCTCTTTCTACAATATGGGGATTATATCACTAACCTACCTGACAGGGCTGTTGTAAGGATGACAATGCATGCTGAACATGTGAAAGAACTGATTAATAATATTTTCCAAATTGTACTGGACTATCTAAAGGTACAGTTTTCAAAATTCTCTGGCTACTGAAACTGCTAAAGATGCTGAAAAAGAGGGCTGTGGAAAGAAAGACTAGGTGGAATAAGACTGTGGTCAGAATGCTAACTGGAGTGGGTCACAGGGAGCATATCACTCCTGTAGTCAGAATGCTAACTGGAGTGGGTCATAGGGAGCATATCACTCCAGCCTCATTCCAATTAAAGATGCTGGTATTGACCTTTAAAGCCCTACATGCCTTGGGACCAGCATATTTTAAGGACTGCCTACTTCCATGTGAATTACCCAAATGGTTATCCTCAGGGATCCTGTTTTGGGTGCCCCCACCATCTGAGACTATATGGATGGCAATCCAAAAGAGGGCCTTCTCAATTGTGGCACCAAAAGTATGGAATTCCTTCCCCAGGAATTCCATCTACCCCCCGTATCACTATATTCTGCCAGCAGGTAAAGGCTTATGTTTTGTTTGACATTCCCAAATTGATGCTCTTTCCTGCTTACATGTAATTGTTTTGTTTATATATGCCTGGTAAGTATATTTTAAAGCTTGCTTTAGTTGTTCTGTGGTGATGAAGGATGATTTCTGACTGGGGCTGTTATTACCAAGGGTCTTACTTGACAAAAACATCAAAGAGAAAGTACTGAATGTGCATCTTCTAACTCAGTGGTGTACTCACCTGCGTGATCTCTGTGTCTATAGTAATAATATGAAGATCAGTTAAGAACATGGGCCATGTTCATGAAGCAGGAGCACATGTCAAAGCATTGTCGATACCGTTCCCTAATCAAGAACTCTGATGTTCTGGGGACTGACCAATGTGTAAACCTGAGCATATTCTACTTAAGACTTCTGTAAGCACCAATATTTAGTAAGCAGGAGTTTACAGTTATGTGATTTTTACTTCATTTTTTAAAACACAAACGAAAAACCCTGAAAATGTTCTAACTGCATCAGGGCAAAAAACAGTTTAATATATTAGAAAGAAGGGTTATGAACTCAGTAGAGTAGAAGGGTTATTAACACTAAGAGACAGTGAAAGACTAGAGAACTGGATTGCAGATGAATTTTTAAATATATTCTAGAAACAGTCGTTAGGGTTAGGCTATCTGTATCATCCACAAGAACAGCCAAGTATTTAACAACATTTATAAAGATTTGTTTTTGAAAACACTGTAACATCCCAATCTTATGCTTTACCCCACAGCAACAGCAAAGAAAACTAGGTTCTAAGGTCCCAGCACTGGCTCAAGGGAACCCTCTCTGCTCCAATGGAGAGAACGGGCTCCACTTCCAGCTCCCAGACACAGAAATGGATACACCCCACACCAAAATGTTAGTGCACAACTGTGTAACACAAGTCACATTCTAAAGCCAGAATCAGGGAGAGCCGCTGTGCCCTGTTTGCAGACCACAACTGCATAATACTCTGTTGTGGTTGAGGCTTCCTTTCACCTGGACAGAAAGCCTCTTTTTGTGAACTGGTAGGGGGAGATTTTGCAACCTCTGTGCTGCATTAGCATTTCTACCACACACCAAAAATGTTAGAATTATGGGCAAATGTCTGCTTTCTCTTTATATCAGCCCCCCGCCCCCCAACCTTGAACTCGCTATTTCATCATTGGCAAGCTTATATATTCGGACAACTAAGGCACACAAGCAACACACTCTGCTTCAATTCTACAGTGAACTTCAGATTTTTAAAGAACTTTATTTGAAACATAACTTGAAACACAGAATATATAGGGAGAAACGTTTGGCAAGTTCCAGTACTTTCACCATAAATCTTAGAACTTTTTGTGCAGAAGTAAATATACACTTCAACCGAAGCATGTGTTTATCTGGCTGCCAGAAGGGTGAAGCACTGCAAAATGTCAGTGTTGAATCTGCCTGGACCTGTAAGGGTAGTTAACTTTTTAAAAGAAAAAGTGTATCTGGGTTTTGTCATTTAAAGTAGATAAACCTTTCAGTTAGCATGCTTCCTTGCAATTCTTTTTTTTTTGGGGGGGGGGTATACCGTACCTCACTGGTTTCCTGTCTCGAAGCAAATCTTCCAGACTCCGTTTGCAGTGTTCAGCAACAACCACCAGCCTCTCTGATTAAAAAGACACACACACACAAAGACAGTTTTAGTATCTCAATACACACAGGCACCAAACACTTTCACTCACACATCCAATCGAAATTAAAACCATATTATCACAACATCTTCATCCGATAATAGAAAAAGAATGTCTACTTCTTTCAGTGGAAAGTAAACTCCCGCTGGGCACATAGTTCACTGAAGATAACTGAACACATAGATACACACACAGATAAATCTGAATAGCCTCAGCATGTGTGGGTAACGTGCTGTCAAATCACAGCCGCCTTACAGCGACCCTGTAGGGTTTTCAAGAAAAATTTAGATTGTTCAACATTTTCAAAATGTCTTTTACTTAAGTATTACGATTTAGTATTACGTTTAGCCCTGGCTACTGCAAAAGTAAGTTATATTTGTGTAAGGAAAGGAAGACAAAAGATTAACATAAAAAAGGAAATATTTATGTTTTTGGTACAAGCTAAGGACAGTAATAGTATTTATTTATTTATTTAAATTTATAACCCATCCTCCCCGCAAACGGGCTCAGGGTGGCGTACAAATGGAGCCAATGCCCAATTTATTTAATAGTACATATATAAATCATTTTAGGCTGCTATGAATACACCAGTTGATCTCTTTTCTAGTTACTTTCTCAATCCCTTTTATTTGTTTACATTAAATTGGGGGCTGATTTTGAGAAGAAGCACTTGTACAGTATCTTGAAGGGAACAGGTACCAAAACTCAGCTCACATGCAACAACCCAACCATGGCTTGTCATTATAGAAACAAACCTAGGAAATTATCAGGCTCACATGATTTTTGTTCATGTACAGCTAGAAAACGAAATGTGTCTGTTTTCACAGCAAACCACAGATTGTCGATCCATATAAATCACAACTATGGCCTGTCCTCCAAACCACAATTCTAAACCATGGTTTACAGTGCCAAGGGGGGGGGGGGGACAGAGTTTGTGACTTGGACACAAGTGAGTGTATGAACTCAGGTTTGTAGGAATAAACCAAGTCTGTAATGACAAACCATCGTATGTCATTATGTGTGAAGCCTTAAGTTCTATTTGTTTTTAAAATATCACACCTTTTTTGCCTGAAGGAGAAAATCCTGGGAGCTTATACATTTTTAAACATGTTGACTAAATTAGACAATGCTGCTTTTGACCAGATCACAGGTAACAGCAGTTCACAGCTGAAATGCACCACGAGCACCACAGTCCTGTGCGTCCCTCTTCTACCTCTCTCATGCAAATATATCACCAATTTTAAAATATATATATATATCACCTCCCACAACTACGTGTGTGAAAGCATACAAAGTACAGTTTACTGAGCTCATTCTACTGGATCCTCTATTGAAGTACTCACACCACTAGGAACATTACACATTTTTAAGTCTACGAGGGAAACAAGGTGTGTGGACAGTGAATGGGTTCCTTGGCAGAAAAGGTTGCCTGAAGGTGAGGAAGCTATTGATCTAGGGTATTTAAAAATTATTAATCTTGCCACACACAACAACAACAGTTACACAAAGATTTCTACAATTTTAAACCATGGCTGTGGTTTTTAAACCATTAACCAACTGTCACGTATGAGTTATGCAGCAGCAGCATTGAAAGCCCTCCAAGCCAGAAGTAAAAATTAAGATATAAAAACATCACTCTAGACAACTTTATTTATATTCACGAGTGGAGGAGTATTTTTATTTGTTGCAGGGGACTGCATCCTGGTTTTTTAAGGGTCTGAGTCTGAATAATCTAGGATTTTATATTACTCACCCTACACTTGGGATAAAAAGATCTTCTACGCTGAATGTCAGAAGGCATTGCTTGCATTTGCCCTCCAAAGCTCTAAACGTCCTACAAAATCTTAAGAACAAGTGAACTATGCATTTCACTAGGAAATTCCATCTTAAGGAGAAGAATGTTTTAAACATGAACTTGACATGAGATGGGCCCTTAAAATGCATCATAGTTTTGCTGCACAGATAGCTGTTCTCTTGAATTCCTCAAGTGAGGCGTCAGCTCACTAAAGTGATAGTAAGGGAGCTGGGTGTGATCACAGGTGCTAATGTGCCAGCATTGCCACTGAGTCTGGGAAGTTGTGATGGACAGGAAGCTGCCCTGCCCCTGAGAGGTGAAATTCTCAGCTGTTTCACACCACAGCCTTTGAGAGTGCTGCTTAAGCATTCAATCAAGGGTGTGTGTGTGTGTGTGTGTGTGGAAAGTTGGAGGGAAACACAACAGCAGTCATATTATTGGGGTTTGCCTGAGCAAAAGAGCAAACAGTTTGAAAGGCAACTGGTTCCATGGCAGAGTGGTTTAACTCTACCTCTGGGAGAAGAAGAGTACCTAGTTGTGATCAGTGTTCCCTCTAAGCTGAGTTAGTGTGAGCTATCTCACAGTTTTTTAGCCTCCGGCTCACACATTTTTGTCCTAGCTCAGGAAGGATAGCTCCAGAGCAAACAATTTATGCAGTAGCCAAATCGCTCGCTCACAACTTTAATGCCAGTAGCTCACAAAGTAGAATTTTTGCTCACAAGACTGTACAGCTTAGATGGAACATTGGTTGTGAGGACTGTTTCTGGTGATGAGCAGACCTTACCATTCACTCTTATTCTTGGGAAAAGGCAGGTTGGTGTGGGTGGAATTTTGTATGTGCGTGAAAGGCTCCAACCTGGTGGCTAGTCAGTAAAAGCCTGTTTGTAACGACAATCATTAAAGAGAATTCACCACCTAATCTGTACATAAATATATCTTCTTTGTTGTTTTGTTGATTCTTGTGCTTCAGTGACCTCTGTACTCCTCATGCTCAATACTAAACTCACCTTACAGCAGCGACCCAAAGCCATTATTTTTGCTACCATAAGAACATCTTGTAACTGAGGTGAAGGTTCATATCTCAAAATCAACCGGGTTTCCCAAAATCATGAGAGGCTGTGTTGATCCTTTCACTTCAAAGAAAGGGCCCGTCAGAGGAGTGTTCAGGGCCCAGCAATAAAAAAGGCAGTTGCAGCTATTAAGAAAGACCAGAGAGATTTTAATCTAGATCCAGTAACAGACCAAGATACTAGTCAGACGTTAGTATTCTGGGGGCCACCTTGAGAAGGGGTTAAAATGGGGCAGGGCAGGTATAATATCCAACCCCATCATCTAAATCGATTGCCTGCAAGTCTGCTGCTTTAGACAGCAATTTTCCTGAGCAAACCTCTTGCCACTAAGGGACAAGCTGGTCCTCACAGGACCAGACTTGGCATTTGAGGTCTCTGCTTGCTGCCTCCTAGGCTAAGGAATGGCCAGGGTACATCCACAGAAACTGTTGGAGCTGCGTTGACTGGTTTATAAGGACCTCAGCATTTGATTATCTATTTTATTGATTTTTTTATTGAGCTTTTTGGAAAGGAAGTAACTAAATTTAAGAAAAATAAATCAAGAAAAGGCCTCTAGAGTATTACAACTTCTTACGGTATTTTTGCTGTAAAATGCTTTGCTAGCCAAGACACTGTGTTTTCAGCTTAACTTCTCTCTGTTACATCATAATACATTATCCTTGTATTGTTGCAAGGGTAAGTGTTGCCATTTTTCATACAACCCTTGCTCCTTCAGAAAAAAATCAGATTTACAACGTGAAGGACATCTGCTACGCCGTACTTTGCCAGACATTGTGTTTAGCTACACAACTAAGGCTAGTTTAACAAAATTTACCAAGGGTTGTTTTTTTTTGTTGAAACTTCACTTAAAAGGAACCAAACTGATCCCAGGTGTAATCGTCATTTTCCCCCTCAACGGCACATGTGGAATTTCCAAGAAAGCACAATCATCTTGAATGAGTTTTGAATGGTGTATAGAAAACAAAGGCAAAACCTGACTCCTCAGCTAACTTTACATGTGAAAGCATAATGCTTATAAAAAACAAACACACACACATCTGATACCTAACACCAGTACCAAAGTAATAACAATGTGGAAAACAAGTAAAGTTTGGGGACAAAACCAGGATACTTGGAAAATATAATGCAACTAGATATATGTAAGGCATTATGATAGATGGGGTGTATATTGAAGGAGGAGTTCTACATTTTGAAAGGTGGAGGAACATACTGCACCCCTGCAGGACCTCTGTCAAGGAGGCCATGCTTCCCAGCTTCAGTTGAACAAAGCATTTTTTTCCCTTCACTGCAACAAGTACTGTTGCTTATTTTTCCCCAAAGGGCAGCCACTGACTTATATGTGATATTAGATAATTTCGGAGCAGAAGTCGCATCTAGTAGCACCTTAAAGAACAACATTTCCTAGTATACAAGCTTTCATGAGTCAAACCTCACTTCATCAGATACAAATAAAATGAAGGTCCATCAGCCTTTATATCCAAGTCAGAAGGTGGCTGTTGGAGTCAGGATGCAGTGGTACAATGCAACATGTAATCAGCCTGATTAGAGCCAGCAGATATGATTCACAAATGTTTATACCTAGGAATACGCTGCTGGTCTTTAAAGTGCCATTAGACTCTAATTTTGTTCCACTAGAACAGACTTACATAGCTACCAACCTGAAGTTAGACCATTTTAGTGGATCTATGTTGCCATTTGAGTCGTGCCTGAATCTATTTGCACAGACCAGGGGTAAGCAATTTTTTTGGCCCAAGTACCATAAAACCCACTTGTGAAGATGTTGGTGTTGCAGCAAACAAAGCAGCAAGAAATTGAGGTCCACACCAGCATGGAGCAAAAAAGAGAGAGAGCGATAACTGGTTCAGCTAAAGAATTAATTTTAATTCACCTCTAAGACCTGTTTCTCACATACTCTTCATCAGGGGGAATCTGTAAACTATCATACCCTGAACAGTTCCCACAGCAACAGCATTTCAGCAAAAATTCTCCCACCGCACCAATTGTCTCTTCTTGTTTTTTCACTCCAGCAAATAAAGCGGCAGAGAGAAGAGACAGGGTGGTTGAAGTTGGTTCCCACACCGAGATCCATTCAAGCCTCAGCAGCACTGCCAGAATCTTGTGGGCTTGCTTCAGACCTGGCTAGTAGTTGGATAGGTTATGAGGTACACAAACTATGCCCATTACCTCTCTCAAGCAGCTGGCCCCAATGGCAGTGACACTACCAGCACTTCAGCACTGCCCCTGGTTGTTTGGGCAGAGGTCAGCCTCTGCAAGAACAGCACCTATGCTGGAGGATTGCCTATACTTGGCACAGGCCCATCACAAGAACTCCGAAAGGCAGTGACTCTTCATGGTCTCAGCTAGAGGTCTTTCACATTACCTACAACCTCGGGATGCCAAAAACTTAACTTAGGACTTTCTGCATGCAAAGCAGATGGGCCACTACTGAGCTATGGCCCCAGCCTATCCTAAGTGCTGCTTTTTAGGCACACTGAAATCTTACAAAATACTTTATTTACCCTAATGCAAGACTCGGGTTTTTCCCCAGGTATGCCATCAAAAAGGAAAAGAAGGAAAAAAGGAAAAGAAGTAGAAGTTAAAGAAGTTATAGCAAAATTTAAAAAATAAAAAAATAAAATTGTAAAATGTAAAAGAAAACGTAAAAGGAGATTGTCTTAAATTTACATACAAATTAGTTATTTCCAATAATATTTTTTGTGTGTATAACACTTACAGGGTCTGTTGTCTTACATTCAGGGTTTTCTTCCTTTGGGTAACTACAATATTAGGGGTTAGCTTTATATAAAGATAATCTGAGGGAAAGA